AAATTGCATTATATCTGATGAACATCCAAAAGGAGAACATGAAAAATAAAAAATAAAATCCTCCGTAATTGAGAATTGACATTCGTTTTCAAATCGGATGAATAATATAATGTATAATGATATAAACATATAACTTACCAATATATTCAGCATTGAAATGAAAATTGGAATGTGTAGGAGAAGTATACTGGCATGAACTCTGCTCTTGATGAGCTTGAAAACTTCCAAAAATAATCATTCATATCAGTGATATGGAAAATATTATCTCTCACACACAGGTTATATGACTTTATTGCAATGAAACCATTTCGGATTCCTAAATCCTCATCAGTAACCATGATGTCCACTTATTCTTACAGCCATTCTTCATGATATACACAATTTTCATCTTTCTTTAATACAACTAAAACCGAGTAAAACTATAACAAAATGACATCTGAGAAAAAAACCCTAATTGCAGAAGATTGTATATCTTATTTTTAAACTCTTATCGTGTGTGTTCAGAAGATATAATTCAATGTTCCTCGTGGCATATAGCCAGGAAAGTAGTTGTTTTCTATTGAATAAAATGAAAACGAGTTGATATTCTTATCACAAAGAGAATGCGAATTCTCAATGTATCGCTATAAAAAAATATATGTCCACTTTTGTATGTTCCTAATTTATCTGAGAATATTCCTTTTCAACACTTCCATACCCAATCAGGGGGTTCAAACTTGAACGATGGAAACTTGCGATTTTTATAGACCTCTAATCTCAGATTCGTGATACGAGTCTAAATTTAGAATTTCTTTCCACGCCCTGTATGATGAATGCCAATTTATCATACACCCAAAAGTAAAAATACTTCATTGAGTCATATTGTCATTTTTGGAAAGATATTGATTTTTTGGTATTGATCTGAGGCAGGTGTTAAACGCCAGCTGACAATCCTGCGATTTCTGGCGTTCTGCAGCTGCCTCAGGATCTATATTTTTCAAAATCTGACAACGATAACCTCCATGAAGTATATATATTTGAAAACAGAAAAAATTGCTCTACCGATTGGGAAAATAAAATTCACGGTGTTTCTTTTGAAATATACCAGTTTATGTAAAATTTTCAGGTTAATATGATGCTTTTTTATTTTCTAGTATTAGGTTCTGAATGCCTATGAAAAATACTTCATATTCAAATACTATCTGTAGGTTAATCGAGGAGGTGGTACATTCATTATTCCAGATTTCCAGAATACCAAAAAATCTGGAATGATGAATGTACCACCTCCTTGATTAACCTACAGACAGTATTCAACAAATAGGTATAGGCCTCACATCAATCATCAGTTCAGAAAACATGCAAATGCAAATGTCGTAATGATGAAGTGATACCAAAAGGGTTACATTTAAAAGCACCATTTTATAGTAGACAATATGTGAATGGATAGTTCTGAAAGCAAGAAACGCATTGGTAAGAGAAATAATGAGTTTTCACAAATACAATAAGGTGAGAATAAAAAACATTATATCACAATGGGAAAGACCACTGATTTTTTAAAACGACATTATCGTGAACTATTTACTGAAAAACTACCAGTAAATTAATTTTGAATTTTTTCATTCATGCTAAGACGATGGAAAAAATAAATTAGTATATGTCCATTTCAAAACACACAATTCCTGCGCCATGGAATTTCATCAATTCATTGGTGTGACTGGTGCGACGTCTTAGTCCCAACACGCCTATTGTCCTTGAACGGACCAATTACACTGCAACACTGCAGAATGACGAGGTATCAGAGAGAGATAGCTACAGTTCGGGACTAATACGTCACGACTCCACCATCATATTTGGCTGTTTGAAATATGGAATGAAATATGCTGAATTCAAAACGATATAGATTCGATTCCCTTCAACTTCAACTCATAATATTGATTGTACATAAAATGTAAATCATGATTCGTCGATTGAAAGAGGTTTGCATGGATTTCTTCCCTCAGTGGTCTTCCCCATTAGAACACAATTTATATAATGATTCACACGAGGATGTGGAGTCATATTTTCATTTGTGTACATAATTCTTATACAAAGGAGAATACGAAGAACAAACAGATTCATTAATGCAAATTCAATAATCTCATTAATGAAGAACAACGAGAAGAATTGGGATTCAGAAGTCGTAAAAATAATTTCTTGAACAAAACCGTTGTGAATCTATCATCGAGAGCATTGACAGATACAGAAAAGTTAATATTGTCAAAAGGAATGAATTTTTCAATAACACCAAATAATTTTCCAAGATCAGATTCAATAACAGCGATTGAACTAACTGCGCAAAGACTTCCTGATGAATTTTCTAATGAGTACAGAATTAGAAATAAAATGATTATTGAAAAATAACACAAAATATTAACTGGGATAGCTATCGAGTAAAATAAAAACGATGACCCTGTACATACATAATTTTTCATGAACCTCACATAAAATCACTACTTCTCCTCACCACGTCTTCTGATGCAGACAACCTTCCTCTACAAATAATAAATCAGTTCTACCAACCTTGTTAAAATACTAATCGAAAATGTGAAGCGTTAGCTCAGCTCAGCTTGGTGAATTGAAAATTGTCATGTCTCATTAATTCCTATCTGGTGTAAATAGCTTATCCATAGTTCAGTTCATTTGCGGGAATTGAATAAGGTCACAGATTGGATTATTTCAAGTCGGCATAGCAGATGACTAGATAATTGAATCAGATTGTTTGAAATGAATTTATTGGATTGGTGCTAATATATCCTAGTCCGCCCTTAAACCGCTTACAGAGTGACAACCGCACTCAATTCGAATTAGGATCGAGAATGTGAATTGATTCACTGAAGTACTGAAGGCACATAGACTAAGAATTATTCCTACTTAGACAAATTGAATTGATGTTCCGCATGAAATGAGGGAAATGTAGGGTCTATAGGAGATAGGAGAATTTGATACCAATTTTTGTACTATGATGACTGATAAAATCCTAATTCAGAAACTTATTTATTTAATATTTTGATTCTGTTTTCAGAATCATTAGTAGAAAATGAGGAAAGGATTCATCGTTGAAAGCTTTCAGTCATTCTTCTAACTCGTACACTATATGTGATAGTTACTACATACTAAATCAAAGGCCATGGATCTATCAATTTACCTTCAAAAACACGTGTTTCAAACGATTCAATGAATAATTGATTAGTGGGCCTCATTTACTGGCAGAAATATCATTGACATTCCCAAAAAACAATATCGAAAGTCGATATTGCTTCAATGATGGTGGAAAGTATTGATATGTTATTAACTATTATATAATGACAACTTTATAATAGGCTATGCTGATATAAGGCGTATGCCTATTATAGTTCATAGTTCATGAATACATAAGTTTCATGATAATTGAACCGGTGAAAATATTCATACAGGATGTTTCCGAAATTGGGGCGACAAATAAAATGACACAATGAATAACAAAAAATGGTTTTGAACATTTCTCAGAGTGTCTCAAGTGTGCGCAGCCACCATACTACATCTTTTGAGTATTATTGAACGTCCGGCAACATTGCAAAAGTCATTGATACTCCTCGTACTCGTGATATTGTCGAAAGCAAAGGCTTTGGTTGGGCTATAACCTATGATCAATGATTTGAAAAGTTTCAGGCATACTTCGGAGCTCAATCTGATCCAAAATGTTTTTTTTTTGACAAAAATATAGGTATTCTTTGATTTCGTTTTGCTTTTTCGTCTTCTATCATCCATTTTATTTATTTTCCCAATCTCGAAAATACCCTGAACCTACATTGAACACAGCAATATGCTCTAGTCTGACAAAAAATCCCAAAAAAGTCCTCAAATTAACGAAAAATTTCATCTCGGAAACTGAACAAATAATGGAAAAATTATCCAGTATGCCACTTCGCGGCTTTCGAAATGCTGAATGGGCCTTTCCAGTATCGTAAAATTCAACCCCTATCCGCTATAATGTGATAAGGGGAAGTCAAAATGTTATTCCTACCATATAATAATCGCAAATACCGAACAACGAATGAATTATTTGATATTGAAAATGCAACTTGAATACCTATGAATTCAAACGCTACTGAGCTGTTATGTTAGTGTCTTCTTGTAATTTGAGTGGTTGTAATTTCGAAGCACGCCGCTGTTGCCAGGTTTTTCCTTGTTTCATCCAAAAAAGTCTTTGTTTTACCGTAAAGTCTGGTTTGTTACACTTGATATTCTAGAAGTTATTCTAGAAGAACCTGATAGATCTTAGTAAGTCATAAATTCCTGACTTTCACGAGTTTTTCTGACAGTAAACTTTGATGAATAAATTACCTATTTGTTGAAATGATGGATGCTCCCTGGTCATAACACTTTTGTCATTGAATATTTTCCAGTCAAACTCACTCAGTAGCTAAGCAAGGGTAGCAGATTCTCTTCCTGTTCCTATTTGGGGTGTAGGGGTGGGTTTTCCGCATTTTTGTGAGTTCGGGGAAATATAATCTTGTGGCTCAATCCAGCAGACAAAGTTGAACTGTCTCTCCACCAAGGTTGCTGTGACGTATAAATACTCAACGACTGGCTGAGGACTCTCTCACACTGCGCTCTCTGATTTTTTTCTCTATATAATATTTATATCAATATTTATATTCGATTAGTAATTCCTGTAATTCCACCAAATTTCTTGTTTATGAAACTTCATGTTTTGTGTGAATAATAAATGAATAATAATAATAATAATATTGACCCCTGGTTTTCTGTAGGCAGCGAGGTAGGCACCTCCTGTGCCTTGATTTACTGTCGCTATCCAGGCCTACACACAAACTCAATTTGAAGGAGTAGGTGGAGTAAACAACCTTCATAAAAAATCTGGCGCCCGAGATATCCGAAACAATAACCAAAAGTCTTTCCAAACAGCGTCGAAGGATGGGCCCCTTTGACTACAGTTTCCTTATCCTTACATCGTATGAGTAATACTAACTTTGCCCCCGTAGGACTGTCACCGCGGAAGAGGCGCAGACCTACTGCGACACCCAAGACTCGAGCTGTGCCTTCGTCGAGACCTCGGCCAAGAAGAACTACAAGGTCGAAGAGGTGTTCTACCAGCTATTCCTTGCCGCCGGTCTGCCCCTCGAGATGGCGCCCAATCACCACAAGCGCGTCAGCGCCCATTTCGGCGCGCCCTGCCCCCTGCCACCGCCCACGCCCGCCCACATGGCTAAAAAGTACCACTTGTCGGTGAAGAGGAGGTTGAGCGACGCTTGCGGGGTCGTTACGCCCAACGTGCGGCGGCCCAGCATCCGCACGGATCTGATGATCATGAGGACTAAGACGTGCTCCTTGGGGGACTCTCCAGGAAACTCGAATAATTCCCCCATCCGGTGGAGGCGAGTGGAGAAAGAGTGTGTTTTGCAGTGAACGCGTAATCATCTACACTTCGAGTGGCATGTTTAAAAAAAATCATTGATTTCTATGTTTCGCTCCATTCTCCTGGAACTTTGTGATTTTTCGATCGGATTCTGAGATTTATGAAACGTCGAAAGCCCATTTCGAGCTTTTGCTTTTCATTCGGAGCCAGCTTAGAGTGAGAAAAATCAATAACTCACTATCGATGTAAGTTCGCACAATTCAAAACGTTCTATATTTTTCAATGATTATTCGAAAAGCGGAAACAAAGTACCTCTTATGAATTTTGGGAATATCTGATACCATGAAATTCAAATTGGAAAATCAGCAGAAACATCAAATGACTCACATGAGAGACACTGATTCATCTGAAAATTTCACACCGAACATTTTCGAACAATTTTATGCCTGAATTTCGTATCGTTACCATAGCAACTAAATGAATTTCTTGGAATTTTTCTCCTCCTCCTTGGAGGACGGAGCATGATATTACACTAGAAATTTTTGACGTTCATGGGTTAAATGACATTAACATTCAACTTCAGATTATTTCGAGTTCATTCTATAAGTCAATAAATAAAAATAATGGATCAACAGTTTACCATATAATATTATGTAGGCATACTTGCAAATTCGAAATTTACAAAAACACATGTTGTTACTATCCCTTAGTTCTCACATTCCATCACAAACAACCATCAACATGTGAATTTTCTTACCAAATACCATTTAAGCTTTGATCAATAACCAGGAATTTCTTCTCGAACACGAATATTCAGAAAATTCGTGTTCTCGAAAAACTTTCCAGAAATATTTGAAGCTCTCGTGAACTTATAAGTAAAAATCTACTCATGAATCGAAATGAATCCAGTGGATAATGAATTTGTATATAAGTTCAATAATATGACAGATATGTATTTTATTTTGTTCACAAATAAAACTACACTTCCTTCAATAGTTGAAGCCAAAAAATAGTACCTACAATGAATTAAATTTGATTAGCATCATTGGGTTGGGAATCGTCTGAATTTAGTAGTGAAATGATCATGATCCTGAACAATATCACCCTCTCGCGAAAAGATTTGGTCAAATAAATTATATATTCTTTCTCTTCATATGCTTCATAGGGGAGTTATCATCCTCTTATATTATCTCTTGGAGCGCATGGAAGGGAGGATAGGCTTTTTTTACTTTTGGAAGTAATACTTACATTGGCAAAAAGTTCCGAAGCTTTGCCGTTCTATAGATAAATCGGGATGACTGTGTCATATACTCGGCCAAAAAGTACCACTTCTCCGTGAAGAGATCCACACGAATCAGATGATCATGAGGACTGAGATGGACTTCTTGGGGGACTCCTCTGGGAACTCACATAATTCCTCTATTCGATGGAGGATGGTGGAAAATGAGTGTGTTCTGGAGTGAACACGAAATCATATACACTTCAGTTGTTTCAGAAAATATTACATTCATACCTATAATATTCAGTTTCATTATCCTGGAGCTTTGTGATCCTTCGGTTTGATTCTAAGATTCATGCAACGTTGAATGCGCAATTCACAGTCATTTCTAAGCTTTTCATTTGGGGAGCCAACTTAGAGTGAAGACGAACCAATCAATCACTTAATGTAATTTCGCACACATCATTATAGTCTCTGTTGTCTCTTGGAATGATTATGCGAATAGCAGAAACGGAATATCTTTTATTGATTTCGAATATCCCCTATCATGAAATTCAAATCAGAAAATCAGCGAAAACAACAGTCACATGAGGAACAAGTTCTGTTGTTGAGTATTTTTTTGTGACGGGAAAACAGTTTGACATATCATCTCTGTTAACAGGTCCCTCTCCATAAATTATTCTTATTCTAAGGGAAAAAGTGATTTATTTCTTCCTAGATATATATGTACACTGTTGATGGCTTCTGTTGTGCTAGTTCTTAAATATAAGTTAATAACACCGTCTCAGATAAGGAACTGCGAGTCTTATCATCTTCCATTCTAAATTCTTGGTTACGTAAATTACTAAACAACCACAATTTTTCAAAATCAAATCACAGAATTTTCGTTGAAAACTTCAAAATGTCAGTCGATAATATTCTGATTTTGATATAATGTAATATCTTTTCAATGTTGATTCGTCTTTCTCCCTTTCACAAAAAAAATGTATACTATACACGGAAAAAATATTAGATTTTGCCTCACGGTTTTCTGTCTCTCTCAGCAACGCGTCAAGAGACAATACAACATCGGGCTTAAATCAACAACTTTGTGCTCTTGTATAACAAATAACTATTCAAATCTCTTGGGGCGCACCAAAGGGTATCCCAATAATGTTGGAAGAACATCGTACGTACCCGAGGAGGATAAGGAAAGAGTCATTAGAGAAAGATCTCGTTCGCAAATAGTGAATTTGAATGAAGTATCAGAAATTGTCAGAGTAATTGTGACTGTTGAATTAATAATAACGTATTGATTGAAGGTTCTATCGTTCTTAATTTTTCCATTAGAACGAGTATAATATGCTAGGATGAAGTTGTTTGTTGTTCATTGAGTTGTATTAAAGAAAAAACTATGACCAATATGGTGTCATAATGTCAAGGTCACGTATAATTTTTATTCGACAAGTTATTTTTGTTTCTAGTGCGAAAAATGTTACTTTGGTGATCGAGAACTGATTTTTCCATACGAGGCGGAGCTGAGTTGAAACAATAGTTGAGATCACATCACCAAAGTATTTTTAGCAAAATTTGCAATCTGAATTTTCTCTACGAACGTCAGAAAAGATTCTTCTGAATTGAGTAATATTGTTATGCTTAGCTCAATATGAAAATAGTATTGAACTGGCTTGAAAAGCCTCAATTATTGTTAATCATTCAGAAATGAATGATTTCATAAATGTCAGCTTGATTGAGGACCTTGAAGTTCAAAGTACAAAAACCTCATACTATTTTAGTTCTCACACTATTTGGCGCACTGTGTCGTACTAACGTAGGCAAATGGAAAAAATGGCCACTTTGCATAGATATCAATGTGCAATTATTTTGATTTTTTCGACTTCTGCAGACAAAATACGTAACTTTAACATCGAGAATATCTTACGAATCGAAAGTTACGTCTACAAAGTACAGAGTCAACTTGATTGCCCATATCAAACTTATAAATGGACGAAACAAACTAGAATTTTTCCAAATGACTCCATTATTGAAGTATATCTCATAGCTAAGAAATCTATAATGAACAGAGTTGCCCCAATTGTCAGCAGGAGCAAGATAGTTCTGTTTCGGCCCACCAGGCCTCATCAACCGTTGACAACAAACAACTTAATTATTTTCAACTCCAGCAGAAAAGTGTTTTTAATACTTTTTCATCTACTCACTAAACCGAAAGAAGGCGTTTGCTCCCTCATTCGAGGAAACAAAGTTGTCAATTTACTTTCATGGGAGGAAAAAAATATTAACTCCCGTGGGAGGTGAAATAAATTGGCTTCAGCATGCATCCTTTGGCGTCGATATACCTATAAGATCTGTGCAATCCAAGTTTTCAGTGTCTATCACTATTATGAAACAAGTACCAATGATATTCTGTTTGAATTCCAATGATATCATACGCTTCTTTATATTATTCAGAACGTATTTCTAATCGAAATTTTCGAATGCAGTTACACAATATACAAATCAATTAATTCATGATGACAGAAGTGTCAAATTTACTCTCGTTCGAACGCCTTCAATTGTCTATGGCATACTATACCTTTGTAATGCATAATAATTTCAATCGAGAGATAGACCGTCTGAATCACAATTTCAAGAATGATGCTTTGAACTGATGCGTTCGTTGATGAAATCATATATATATCATGGGAGGAAAGCTTCATCTCCTCCCATGTGTGTTTGATGCCCTCCGCTACGCAGAAATGTATACCCTTCCTCCCTATAGATATATAAATATCTATTGTTTCAATCGTGATTGTAAATCGAGCCACATAACAGACTTATGTAGTATTCGAATACCCAGTATTCTGGATGCTATCCCCGTTTGGTATTCGGTATTCGACTGGATACATTCTGGATTCTGAATACCGTTTCTGAATCCCAGTATTCAAATACCCACTTTGTATTCGAATCCCGGTATTCGAATCTTGTATTCGAATACCGGTATTCAAATCCTGTTTTCGGATATTTTTCGATTATTTCTATGAATATTGCGTTACGCTTAAACGGAGCCGTCGCGATATATTATTGGTCGATCATATATTGCCTAAGCTCCAGCTTAACGCAACTTGAACGTGTTCAAACACGTATGAACACGTTCTCGGTGGTTGTGGACGGTGGTGCTCCTGAATTCGCGATACCGAGGATCGGGTTGAATTTAGTCACTACGAAAACGCGAGATGAGACTTAAGGTGGCTTAAGGACTTCAGAAAATCAGATTCAACTCAACCTTTTGCAATATCTTGAAGACGAAAGATTAGGTTTGGAAATGCTTAATGATTTCCCTTCAATTGAGCATTCGTCGTCTGCTCCAGTAGAACGATTTTTTTCTTTTGCGGGTATGGCAAATATGCAAAAGCGGCAGAATTCAAGTGACGATCCTTTTGAAATGTTGGTTTTGTCAAAGGCGAACGGGATAGAAAATTCTTAATCCTTATGTTTCTTTTTGATGAATGTTTTTTTTTTCTGTTGAGATACTAGATTGTTTTTATGAGATAGGTAGGTACCTATATATTTTATTGGTTCCTATGTTTTATTTGAAATGAAATGAATTTTAAGTTTTATTTATTATTTGAGATTATTTTCCATTATTATCTTGCTGAACAATTATTTTGTGTTATCTTACTGTTATCCAATGTACCAAAGTACTTTATTTTGAGTTCCATTCATTGATTGAATATCGTTTTATTTTGAATGATTTTTCGATTTTCGAATAAAATTTAGAAATACTAATTAATAAATGTTTTTTATTTAACCTCATTGTGACACTTTGTATCAAAAAAATATTTATCAAGTTTTATTTAATGTAGATTTCCTATTTTTTAAATATATTTTTTTATAAATTACCTACATACATGAATATAAACGAGCTTTATATGTGCGCAAATGTTTTTTTTTTATTTGGAATATTCATAAAATATTCATATGTGGATGAATCCAGGTATTTGAATACAGCGGTA